TTGTGGTGAAGGTGGAGAACTGCTTTTCTGTGACAACAAGACATGCCCCAAAGGTTATCATATTCACTGCCTTAAACTAAAGCGGCCCCCAAAAGGTAAGAATCGTATATGTGACCATAACTTCTAAAACTATTCCATGCATTCCTTATTATTGTGCATACTATATTTGCCTTGATGTTCTACTATTGTTCCAGAACTAATCACTGTAGATGTCACAGTACACAGATTCGGTAGTTATTTTCTTCATATTTTGTTAAATATTCACCATTTTTATAAATGTCTTAAATAAAAGTGAAATCTTAATGAGCTCTTTTTATATCACATTAATTATTTTGATATAACTTGATTGGTACAGATCAAAATCAGATTTTCAGTACTTTCAAATGAGGTTGTAGATCTTAATCACAGCTATATTTTATGACATGTGCCAATTTTTGAATGCATTGAGCCAGTTTTTTGAGAATCTGTAAAGTTTGATATAAGCTTCACATGAATTAGTAGTTGGTTGGACTAGTATGAATCAAACTAAAGTTTTTGGTGTAAACTTCCAATACCAATTTTATTTTAAATATATTTGGTAGTTTCAGAGATGAAACATGGAGAAGGTGATGCATACATCTGTAATATGTATTCACTTTACGCAGAGATTTCCAAAATCTGCCATGTAGAGTAATTGTGGAACTCTGTATGGTGGATTAGCTCTGTTTCATTTTGGTATGTGAGGTTGTAATAGTTATGTTTATTGTAATAACAAGTCTCGAGGTTTTGTTTTTAATTTTACAGGAAAATGGCTCTGTCCATGGCACCGTTGCAATGAGTGTAACAAGCGTACTACTAGAAGATGCGGGTTTTGCCCGAATTCATTTTGTCCTCGGCATGCTGACGGAAACATCAAGTTACATCCGGCAGTTGGCTTTGTCTGCCAGGAGCATGATAAAGTAATAATTCTATAGTATCGACTAATGTTCTGATGATTTAGGATTGCGTTCATTCTTCACCCTCCCCGTGGTCCACTCAAAAGTTATAGTGAAATCCCCTGTTTAACATTTATTTGGAGGACAGTGAATTTTATCACTGAACTTAGAAACAGTGACAGTAAATCTAAGTATGTGAGTCTTGACTTACTGAACATGAAACAGTTGCTGAAAATGAAAATAATTCATTACTGGGGGAGCTATAACAATACTGAACATTGCAACATAAAAGGGAATTTAACTCTGAGATTATTGCCTGTATAGCGATTAAAATGAGTTAACTTTTTCACAAATCAAGAATAATGTGCCATTTTCCATAATTCCTATTAGCGCTGTATGGAAATCCATACTCGTCCCTCATGGTGACCTAACAGAAATATATCGTTCCTACAACTCAACTTATTCCATGTGGCAGCAGACTGAAGTTTAATGCAATGCCTCGTAGTACACCAAATCATGTATTAATGTAAAGTTGTGTGAAGATTTCTGTCTTCTGGGTTGTTGCTCTGTGTAGTATGGTCGATCAAAAATGACAAATGCTTTGAAACATTAAGGCTGGGAATGGAAATTTAAGTAAAACTGTTTGAGTTTTTAGGCCTGTTTTTTGTATGAAGAAGATTTGATTGGTCTAACTCATTCTGGTGAAACTTTAGGTCTTTCATAATCAGATGACATATATTTTGTTTTCAGGAAACACCAGCAAATGTTAAGGAAGAATTATTAGACTCTGTGGCAGAACCTATTGTTAAAATGGAAACCGAAGAGGAAGAAACAAATGAGGAGTTATCAGGGCCTGCACCAGAAGTCAGTTCCACTGATAAAGAAATTAAAAACAAGACTGAACAATGTGAAAACATGGGAATAGAAATGATAATTGAAAATGAACCTCATGTTTCCTCTGAAGAAACTGCAGTTGAATGTTTTGTTAGAGAAGAGCCCATGGCAATAGAATCTGCCCTACCTTCTTCAGATGAAGTCAAAAATGGCTTGTGTGATGAACTTCCTGATTCTGACATAAAAATCTCAATAGACACTAATGAAGAAAAATATCCAGAGGAAGATATTTTAATTCGGAACGATGCATGTTCTAATGATGATATGGTTCCAAAAGTGAGCAGTATGGTGATATGTGATGAGAAGGTGATGGTAGACCAGAATGTGACCTATGATTTGGTAAAATGCAATAGCGATATTCGAAAACGAAAAAGAGGTCATCCAAGAAAACCATCAATACAGGAGAACCTTGAGAGAAATAAGCGCAAAATTAAAAGCCCTTGTCATATGTCTGCATTCAACAAAGTAGCTTTGGATAATGAACTTGAAAGTCTCGCACAAAGCTTCTCAGATAACGAAGGTTTTGACAGGAAACAACACAAGCTTGCCGGAAGACATAAGAAAAAATTGCAGTCTACCAAGTTTAGGAAAGATACAGCTGTTAATGACTTGAAGAAAGGTGTGATGAAGAAACAGAGAGGTAAAGCCAGGAAAGTCTCATCTCCTGTGGCAAATAAACTTGGATTTG